GCTCCGCGCCCGCGCCCGCGCGGGGCCAAGGGCTTGGCATCGCGTGCACTTGTCTTCCTCGTCCTCCTCCTCTTCTTTCTCCTAGTCCTATTCCTCCTCCTCCTCCTCCTTTTCCTCCTTGTCCCCTTCTTTCTCCTTCTCCTCTTTTTCCTTCTCGTCCATCTCTTCCTCCTCCTCCTCCTCCCCCCCCTCGTCCTCCCTTTCTTCCCCGCGAGAACCATCGAGGAGCATCCTGGACCATCGTGGGAAAAATACGCGCGCAACATCGTAACCTGCACGGGAGATGGACGTCGCAGCGATGGCCAGAAGGGGGGAGGGGGGGGGGCGCCGCCGCGCTTCAGGAGAAGGTTCGAGGTTCGAGGTGTCCGGGCGCTTTCGCCGGTCCTCGGCGGTTTTCCAGCCCCGGGGTGGCCTCCGGGGGCTGCGCATCGCCGAGGGCGCAGCATCCGCCAGAGGCCCGAGTTGTTCTCTGAGAGCCAGCAGGGGATAGGCTCAGAGGAGATCTTGCATCGACCCCCTGTAGCTCTTTCGTCGCCGACAGGGGCCCAGCCCAGGAACGTGCGCAGTTTCTATGAGGGCCCTGGCGCCGACATACCGTCAAATATATCTATCTATGGAAATATGCGTATATATAGATATGTATGTGTATGTATATATATATATATATATATATATATATAGACATGCATCTATAACCATATGCATATACGTATACACATTAAAAACACATCGACGATGTACTGCCGATTCCAGCTCGATGCTGCTCCTCCCCTGAGACGGTCCGTTCCTGGGTTGCCCCTCAAGCCAGAGGAGGACCGCCATGAAGACAGCCCAAACCTCTAACGTATTGAAGTATTCAGTGCACAGGCGTTTCGCAGTTTTCGGCAATCATGGGGCCCTCGCCAGACCCCCCGGCCATCATAGCGACTCGGGGTGCAACGCTGGACCTTCGGACAGTGTCGGGACTTCCGGGGACTCCGTGTTGACAAAAATGAGGGCATCAGGGAAAGAGTTGGGGAAAGGCGTCCTCCTCCGGGAAAGGGTCCTCAGGTCTTCCTGCGTTTTCGGCCTCTGGCCTCTCACGGCTCAGGCAGAAGAGCCGGTCTTGGGGTGGAAGCCTCGGGGTGCAAGATCCAGCCCCTCAGGATCCTGGTTGTTCATGCCAGGAAGGAGGATGACGACGACAAGATGGGTTTAGTATATTTTTGAACGTGTTTGGCTGCTTCTTGGGCCTCCGGAGTCCGCTGGAGACTTCTGCGAGCCTCTCGGGGTCGCCAGGGACCAGAGCCAAGAAGGAAGGGTCCGAGTACGGGAGCGGCAATCCGAGGAGCGGACAGAGAGGCCCATCGCCCAGTGTTGCCCCGACTGCACGAGCGGACGTGGCTGGGCACCAGCGCCAGAGGAGGAGAGGGGGGAGGGCGGGCCGGCGGGGGCGCGGGGCGGGCCGGGGCCGGGGCCGGGGCCGGGGCCGGGCCGGGGCCGGGGCCGGGGCCGGGGCCGGGGCCGGGGCCGGGCCGGGCCGGGGCCGGGTGGCCGGGGCGGGGCCGGGCCCGGGGCGGGGCCGGGCCGGGCGTGGGCGTGGGGGGCGTGGGGGCGTGGCGTGGGCGTGGGCGTGGGCGTGGGCGTGGGCGTGGGCGTGGGCGTGGGCGTCTTGGATAGTTTGAGCTGCTGCTCTGGTGCTCTGGGGCCCGTTCTGGGCGTGACTCGCAGCGGGCGTCCACGCGGGGCGTGCGAGTCCAGCCCTGGGAAATGCGCAAAGAACTTTGTTGTTTGGTGATGGCGGTGATGACGACGGCGACGAGTACGGTGATGACAGCGACGATAATGCTGATGATGCTGGCGATGGTGATGACGGCGTGATGATGGTGATTACCATCAGGTCGTTTATGTTGATGGTGAGTGATGTTGGTCGCGATAGCGTGTTGACCCCACACTGGGCATTCTTGAACCCCCACTGGAACGCAGTTGGTCAAATTACTGGTCCTTCGTTGCGGCGCGTCTTCTTGGGGAGTATGTGATGTTTCTCGCGTTGGAGGCCCCGCCACGCGCCGACTCGAAACCTTCTTTAGGGGGCGAATGGGGCATTGACGTAGATGCCAGCTTTGACTGTCGCTGCGCCCTCGTCGCAGCCCACCCGTCCCCCCCCTTCCCCCTGCTTCCCCCTTCCCCGCGGCCCGACCGATGATCTTCTGCGCGCCGCCCGCGAACCTGCGCCAGCGATCCCGTCGTGTATCGGACCGCTTCGTCGCGGGAGTGCAACCAGGGCCCCGGGGCCGCGCGCGCCCCCGGACGAAGTGTCGCACCCTGGGGTCGAACGGTTTTTTCGAAGCAAGGCCGATTGATAATCCAGCCACGGCGACGCCCAGGAAAAGGACGACCCCCGAAAACTTTAATCATCATCGAAATCCCACCAGCCCTCTGGGCGTAGGTGGTTTAAGGAGTTTCCTCTTCCACCTCCTTCTTCCCCTTCGGGGAGGGGCTTGCCCCCCCCTACCCCCCCCCTGGGCCTGAACGGGGGGGGGGGAAGGGGGGCGCGACGCGTTGGGGCGTCCGGGAAGATGGCCCAAGACGGCTCCAAGAGCGCCTCGGAGAGCCTAAGATGAGCTCTAAGATGGCTCAAGATAGCCTAAAGCTGCCCCCAGATGGCTCCGAAGATGCCCCAAGAGGCCCCGAGACCGCCCCAAGACGGCCTCAAGAGGCAAAAGAGCATCCCAAGGTGGCCCCCACGAGGCCAAAATCTTTCAAACACCTAAGGAAAATACTTGTTGTTTTGCTTTCTCGCTTTTTTTCGCTTCCGATGGCCATCCGAGGCCTCAAGATGGCTCCAAGATGGCCCAAGAGAGCCCCGAGAGAAACCCAAGAGAGCCCCAAGAGGGGGGGCGTAATTAAGGAACCCCCTTCTTTGATCGATGTTCTCCAAGATGGCCCCAAGAGCGCACCGAAAACCCTCTCAAGAGTGCACCAGGAAGAGGGCCCCAAGAGGCACCCAGACGGCCCCAACAAGCGCCCAAAACGCTTCCAATAAGCTCCCAAGATACCCCCGAGACTTAAGAGGTCCCAAGAGCCCCCCGAGGCATCCACGAATCCCCCAGACGCTCCAAGAGGACTCCAGAACAACTTTCAAGAGACATCCTAGTAGGAGGCTCTTATGTTCCCTCACTTCCCTGATCACCTCAATTCGCCTGGGCATCGTTTTTTGGATGGGCTGGCGGGGATGCGCGAAGCGTCAAGAATTCGATGCATATATATATATATATATATATAAAGAGAAGGAAAGAGAGCGAGAGTGACAGACAGAGAGAATGAATGACATGAAGAGAGAGAGAGAGAGAGAGAGAGAGAGAGAGAGAGAGAGAGAGGAGAGAGAGAGGGTCGAGCGAGCGACGGGGGGAGTGGGGGAGGGTAAAACAAATGGCGGAAGGGAGGTGGGATACCGAGGGATAGCAATATATATGTAGATATGTATGTGTATATATATATATATATATATATATATATGCATGTATAATTGAGAGAGAGGTGGGAAATCATGGAGAATATATAACTATATAAAGAGAGAGGGATATGTAGAGAGAGAGAGAACTATCTGCAACCAGAATAGAGAGAGCGCGCGAGGTGGGAGAGAGGAGAGATGAGAGAGACGGCATCGACAATAACAACGGCGACTGGAACAACGCCGAGCGCATCGCCCAGCAGGCCCCGTCTCTCTTCTTCTTGTCTTTTGTTGCGCACGAGTGGCAATTGTGTGTGGTAGCGTCGACGCCCGCATGCAGTCATGCGCACGCGGTCGCCAATCGGGCCGTCGGCCCGAGCCCGGGCCGTCGGCCCGAGCCCAGAACTTCTGGGCACTCCTCGGGGTCCGCGGGTGCTTCTTCGCTCTCTGGAGAGCTGCTTTGGGCCTCGGGAGCTCCGCGGATGGCCCCGGCGCGCTGGGAAATCCCGGGGTCGGCGCGAGAGTTCCAGAGAACGAAATCCAAACCGATTTTGGCCGAAAGCCGGCCCTGGCGAAAGTGCCCAGAAGTTTATTATTATACCAACGCCTGGCTGTCTGCGACTCCTCTCCCCCTGGTCCCCCCCTCCTCAGTCAGTAGTCGTGTTATCCCGTCCCTTCCCTTCCTGCCCCCCCCCGCCCGCCCCCCCCCGCCCGCCTTGCCCCCCGCCCCCCCCCCTCCCCTCCTCCGTCGTTTTCTCCGCCCCCCGCTGGAAGAGAAGCGCCGTCGCCGGCGCTGTCCTGGCCAGGCGCGCTGCCCACGACGCGCTGGGCGACGCGGCGACGACGGGACCGCCCCGAGCAGCCGTCGGGGGACAAAACTGCTGGGTACTCTTCTCTGGGATCCGAGGGTGCTCATTTAAAATAAGCACCCTCGGATCCCAGTTGGGCCAACAAAATAAGCACTCCAGATGGCGAACAAAATTTGTTCGCCATCTGGAGGGCCGCCTCGGGCCTCGGGGGCCCCCAGGATGGCCCAGGCGCGCCGGGGAACCCTGGGATCCCGCGCGAGAGCTCCAGGAAGCGAAATCCAAGCCGATTTTGAAACAGAAACTGGCGTCGTCGAGCGTGTCCAGAAGTTTTGTCCTTCAACCGTACCTCAAGCCAGGCGCTTACTTCTCTGCGTCAGAGAGATCCCAGTCGCTGCCCTCGCCACCGCCATCCTCCTCCTCGCCGCCCGCGCCCAGCTCGCCGCCATCGTCGCCCTCGTCTCCCTCAGCCTCGGTCGATTTCTTCTTCTTCTCGGCGGCGGCCTTCCTCTTAGTAGTAGTCTTTGCGGCGGCTGCCTTCTTCTTCGCCTCAGCGGAGTCCTTCATCCTCTTCTTCTCGTCGCCGTTCTCCGCAGCAGCGTCGCCGTTGAAGAACGCGGCGGCCTGGAAGGCCGCGAGAGCGAGAGCGGCGGCGGCATCAGCAGCGGCAGGACGAGGGGGTGGACGCGGGAGAGGGGGGAGGGCGGGGCGGGGGGGGAAGGGGAAGGGGGCTTCCCGTTAGGCGTCCGATTCACCCAAAT